CTGCCCGGCGAGGGCTGGACCCGTCTCACCGGAGCAGGAGCCGACGCCGGTGCAGCGAGGCGCGCGCTCGGGCTGCCCGCGCCGCCTTCTCGGCCACGTTCTCCTGCGGGAGCCCGGGGAGCCAGTGACCTTCATGGGGGAAGCGAGGCGCGGGGCCCCCAGAGCAGGTGAAGGCGGGGCGCGCCTGCCGCACTCGGCGGGGCCTTGGCAGCTGCTCGGGGGTGGCGTCCCCTGCCCCTGCGGCTGCGGGGTCGTGGCGCGGCTCCCGGGCGTCCTCAGGGTGGACACGACCTGGAGCCTGAACAGCGCACCGGGCTCTCTGATCCCGGCGACCCCGCCGTCAGCAGGCCCAGGCGGCTCGAGCCCCGGCCTCGCGTGGGAGGGGGCCACTCTCCCCCGGGACAGGCCCCGTTCCGAGTCCGTCTGCCCGCTGTCCCCGCCCACCCAGCTCCCGTGGGGGGCGGGCTGGCGCTGCCACCGCAGCGGGTGGGAGGTTGCACACCACCTCTCCAGGGTCCTCATGTGGCGCGGGGGCACAGCCTTTCCCCAGGGCGCGCTCAGGCCTCCTCTTACGATCAGGCCGCAGAGAGGCTGCCCACCCCCTTCCTGCAAGGTCGCAGCCTGAGGGGTACGTGCTGCCCTCCCCACGGGCGGGCTCCACCCTCTGCCTTGGCCTCTGGTGTGCCAGGCGCAGTGGGCGCCTATGCAGGACGGAGCTGGTGACTGGTCACTGGTGCCCCTGGCCAGCCAGCACCTACCCTGGGCCCTCGCCAGCCGCGGGGAGCCTCGCCCCCCACATCAGTGCACAGGGTGCTTTGTGTCCACGGTGACTACAGAGCCCACTGCGTCCATTGCTGGAGGCTGACCGGGAGTGACTGGTGTTAATGATCGGTTTTTTCCAAGCGCCCTGAGCACCTGCTCAGAGCACAGCCGCGGGCCCGGAAGCCGCCTCAGCAGCGTCCCCTTCCCAGCGGCGCTCTGGGTCCTGTGTTGGCTGAGACCGTGATGGGGGAGCAGGAAGTTAATTGTGGTGTGTCCTCGGGCCAGCCCCCTCTTCACCCCACTGCCCTGCTGGGCCAGTCAGCAGCTGCTGTCAGGTGGCTGGCTTCCGCACCAGGCCCCTTGTCTGCCTCGCTGGGTGCCTGAGGGACGTGACCTGGCTGTCGGCCGCCCGTCCTGAGGCCGGCCCGGGCACTGGCGCCTGGGGAGGGGGCCGCGCCTATGGGACAGGCCTGGGCTGGGACGGTGCTGGGGGTGCCACTCGGCTCGGTGCCGGGCCAGGAGGGGTCTCGCGCGGTGGCCTCCCAGGGTGTCCGCGCCAGTGTGGCCCAGAGACTGGCTCTGCGGGCAGAGCGCTGCACTGGGCCACGAGAGGGCGGGTGCTTCCCCCGGCTGACCAGGGGCGCCGTGCGGCCTGCTGCCCTCACTTCCTGCCCCTTCTGGGCACTTGCCGTCAGCTTGGGCCGCCCCAGACCACGCTGTGGTCCTGCCAGACCCGCTTCTCGTGCGGGGTGGGGGCAGGGCGCTGCAGGCACAGCGTGGTCAGGGCCCAGGACTGAGCCAGACGTCCCGCCTGGGCCACGCCAGCCACCCAGGCTGGTCGGAGGGGCTCCACGCCAAGCGGGGAGATGAGCGCGGGCCGGGCTGCCCCCCGACCGTCCCTTACCGCTCTCCTTCCTGCCTGCAGCAGGTCAATGGCCAGCAAGGAGGGGGGTCCGAGCCGGCGGCGGCGGCGGCGGCCGTGGTGGCAGCGGGAGACAAATGGAAACCTCCACAGGTACTGACCTCGAGCAGGCCCGCCCGCCTGCCGGCCAGCCGCCCGCACACCCTGAGCCCAGAGACCCAGCTGGGGTGGGCGGGAGGAGCCGGCCACTCCGCTCTGCCCCGGCTCCGGCCTCCCGGGCCTGCCTCTCCTCTCGGTGCCTGCCCGCTGCCGTGCCGGGCCCACTGCACGTGCCTTCAGAGGCCAGGCCGGTGCCCCTCGCCGCCACGGGCTCTGGTCCCCTGGGGGTGCAGGCGGGGCCGGTGCGGGTTGCAGGTTTCCACGTCGGGTCTGCGCTAGTCAGCGATCCGCGCCGCGCCGGGCCAGAGCCAGGGCTGGGCGGGCCTCGGCCTCCCGTCCCCTCCGCGGGGTTGCGGGCTGGGCAAGCTGAGGCCCGGCCCTGGGGCGTGCGTCCTCTGGGAGGCGGCGCTCGGCCGGGTCATGTGTCCTTTGTGCTTCTCCGTGGCGGCGGCCAGGCCCCGCGGAGCCCCCTGTCCTCGGGCAGCTGTGGCACGCGGCCTGGCGCCTGCAGACATCGGGCGGCCAGGGCTGACGGGGAGGGGGGTGGTGGGGGCCAGGGTGTCCTCCTCGCCCGCCCTCTCTGGTCTGGCTGTCCAGCCAGCCTGCCGTGGGGCGGTGCAGAAGGGCCTTTTGTTTGCCCAGACAAAGAGGAGATTGAGAAGCCCGCAGGGCTGGGAGGCCGCTGGCGCTAGCCTGCAGCCGCCCGGCTGGCCTCTGCCTCTGAGGTCCGGCCTGGGGCCTGCAGGGCTTCGGCCCGCCCCTCCCGCCCCTTGGCCCTCTGTCCCGCCTGGTCCTCGCTCCGTGTGGAGCCCCGCCCGTGTCCCGCTGGCCTGCCAGCGCTGTCTCGGAGGCTGGTCTCCCTGCCGCAGGATGCCGGCCGCTGAGCTGGCGGTGGGGGACAGGCCCAACACCCTGTCCTGCTCCCGCGCCGTGGCCGTTTCTCTGCAAACGGGGCAGAGGTGGATTTGGGTAGAAATGTGAACGTGGCCCTGGGAGCAGCCCTCTGGCCTGCAGGGGATAGCGCCCGCCCAGGTCCTCTCCTGCCCGTTTGGCTCGGGTGGGGGGTGCGCCCTGGGCCCCGGGCGCCCGCTGCAGGCCTGGAGGAGCGGTGCAGATGGGCCGTGGCTTGGAGACGCCCTGGCTCCCGGGGCCAGGCCCGCAGCGTGCCAGGTTGGGCCGCGGGGTGCTGTCTGCCTGCGTCCCCAGAGCGGTGCTGGGAGGCCCGGACCCAGCTCTCTCGCAGGCAGAGACCGAGTCAGTGGGAGGCTGGGGCCGGCCGGGATGCGTGCGGGTGTCTGTGTCAGGCGGTCTGGAAGTGAGGCCGGCGCTACTGCCTGGCCTCGAGGGGTGTCGGGGTGGCCTGCACGGAGGTCCTGAGCGCGCTCTTAGCGCTGTCCCCGCTCCCACCCCCAGGGGACGGACCCCATCAAGATGGAGAACGGCCAGAGCACAGCCGCCAAGTTGGGCCTGCCCCCCCTGACGCCCGAGCAGCAGGAGGCCCTGCAGAAGGTGAGCGTGCCCCCAGCGCCAGGGCCCCACTCCGAGGCGGCCCCGGCGCGCCTCACCGCCCTGTCCCGCAGGCCAAGAAGTACGCCATGGAGCAGAGCATCAAGAGCGTGCTGGTGAAGCAGACCATCGCGCACCAGCAGCAGCAGCTCACCAACCTGCAGGTGAGCCGCGCCGCCGCCCGGCGGGGAGCCCTCCGCCCCACCTCCGCCGCCGCCTCCTTCTCTTCACCTGTGCCTGCGCCGGCCGGCCCCTGGAGGCGCTGGTGTTCTCTCGGTCTCTCAAGGTCTCCTCCTCGGGACCCCAGGGTCCTCCCTCGGCGTGAGCGGCCCAGCCTGGCCAGCTGCTGAGGCCACGCCCGCTCCCTGCCCCTTCTCCAGGCCCTGCCCAGCTCCCAGTCGGCTCTTCTTGGACTTCTGCTGTGGCCTCAGGGTCACCCCCGGCCCCAGCCCCCCAGGCCTGCAGCCGGTGCCCGGCGGGTCTGGGCGCACCTCCCTGCCCCCGTGGCTGCCAGGCCCGGCCGCCTGGCTCGCGCCCGGACAGAGAGGAAGCTGGGCACCTCGGGCCCTGCGCTAGACCAGCGGCCAGCGGCTGCCGGGGCTGGGGAAGGAGGCCAGGGTGAGGCCGGCAGGCGCCTGGGCCTCGAGCCCCCGCCCCAGACACGCACGCGGCCGGGAGCGGCCCTGGCTCTTCACCGCGCTCGGCCCGCCCCCTCCTCCTCGGCCTCCTCGGCCTCCTCCTCCTCCTCGTCCTCGTCCTCCTGTCCCCCTCCTCCTCCCCGGCCGGCCGGCCCAGCTGCGGGGCGAGCACCTGGGGCTCTGAGGCCGCCGGGCAGGGGCGAGGAGCGCGGGGCTCAGACCAGGCGGCTCACGGCCGCTCGGGCCGCCTGGGGCCGCGCGACATTACCGGTGTCCTCGTCCTCCTCGTCGTCCTCGTCCTCGTCCTCGTCCTCGTCCTCCTCGTCCTCCTCCCCGTCGTCGCCGTCCTCGTCCTCCTCGTCGTCCTCCTCGTCGTCCTCGTCCTCCCGCTCGGCCTCGTCCTCCTCGTCCTCCTCGTCGCGCGGCTCGTCCTCGTCCTCGGAGTAGTCGTCGTCCTCGTCCTCGTCCTTCTCGTCCGCGTCCTCCGAGCCCTCGCTGTCGTAGCGCTCGTCCACCGAGGAGCTGTCGGCCTTCACGGCGAAGGCCTTGCGCTTGGGGGCGGGCTCCTGCGGCTGCTTGTCCTGGCTCCTCCTCTTCTTGGCCAGGGGGCAGCCGTAGACGCTG